GAGATAATTTGACTTTTACAACTTTCCCCTATGTTGTTATTTATTAACGCCAACCTTAAACAACTGACTTGCTACCACAACAACAATAGAAGAAAGCTGTATTATTTCAAGTCGTTTGACATACTGGAAACCAATAACAGGGCTAAATGATGAACGAAGTACCCATACGCCATCGGCTATAACCCTTTTTATTGTTCCTAGCAACGATAGATTTGTGTCAATGTTAGCTTAAGAAAATGTCATTTCTGACTTGTGTTCCGTGACCAACAGATCTAATCACATTGATCATCGCGGTTTATTTAAGAACTGATAGCTTAGTTACCGGAATTCGTTCAAACGATAAAACACCATAAAAGATGTATGAAGCAACATCCCCAGCTGTCAAACATTCTTACAAATTGATGGATTGTACCCTCATTACAACTGTACTACGATCTTGAGGAGAAGCACATCCTTGTACACAAATCTTATTATTATAGAAATAAATGCTCAAATCAGATGAGAAAGTTTCAATTTGTGTTGGAAGCTCACAATAGATTTCATCACGTTTCTAACCATAAGATGCGAGGTATTATCGAAGTCTTTCCTGCTAACGTGAACGAAAAATTACTGAATAAAACATAACATGATGAGAAAAAATACACTCTAGATTACATTCAAGAATATCACATTATCTTAAGCAGCTAACATACCAAAGCGCGTAACTATCTGGTGGAGCGAAAAATGAAGAGAGAAATGTCAAACCAAACCGATCAACAAAAATTACTTTTTATGAAAATTTTTGTCACTACGAAAAATCTCAATGGGATCTTTTTGTGAAATTTGTGTATCGCAAAAACAACCGCCAAAGCCTCTTTCTCAATCTGATTGTAATAGCATTCGGCAGGTGTTAACGATCGGGAGGCGTGTGAGATAGCTTTCTGGGAGCCGTCCGCTAATCGATGTAGGATAATTGCTCGTGTGCCATAGTTCGAAGCATCCACTGCTACAATAATGTCAAGTGATGGGTCTTAATGTGTTAACATTAAAGGGAATAGCAAAATATTTTTGACTGATTTAAAAGCATGTTGACATTCACTGTTCCAATCCCACTTGGTTAAAGAGGAAACTAAATTGTTTCAAGGGGTTCGGAGTATGTGCATATTAGGTTCAAACTGATTGTAATAGTTGATCATGCCTAAATATGACTGAAGCGTATGAAAGTCAGTGGGTGTTGGCATATCACAAATTGTTTTAACTTTTTCTGGGTCGGACTGTCTACCAATAGCGTCAACAATAAATCCTAAATACTTGAGAGTTAGAAAAGAAAGAACACTTTGCTGTGTGGATATGAAACCCAAATTGTTGTATGCGAATTAATATCCTGACTCAAAAGGTGGAAGTGGTCATGAGCATACGTGCATACGTGCTAACAATGATGATGTCGTCCATATAATCGGCGGAGAAGGGTAATCCAGCTAAAATATTGT